ACGACACATGATTTGAAACTTTAACAATATTCTAAACCTCATGAATCGTTCCTTGAGTTCCAGTTATCAATTCTTTGAATTCCAGCAACGTTTATTGGAATTATTCCATGTTTTTATTGGGAATATTTTTATCCAAATAAAAAAAAAAGTTGTACTAAAAGAATGGTTCAAGTATTAGTAATAATAACTTTTAAAATAGTGGCTAATATTTGATATGATTTGCTTAACTTAAATTGAGAGAAACAGTCTCTCTGCGCATAATTTATCCTTCACAGATTCTATTTTTTGAGATTTCATTAAATATATTGTCATTACTTTTAATATTTGATAGCAAGTGCTAAAAATGAGGATTTTAAGGGGGGAAACAAGGAAGGATATAACAAGCTGGTGGGAAAACGAATCGACACCAACAAAGTGAATATTCATGTTACAACAATTGAGCTACTAAAGATTCCCCAAAAGTGAGTATACCCCCTAATTTAATTGGACAAATTACTTAACTACACTCCTTTACTTACCTTAATATCCATTTATCCCTACTTATTTCAAAAATCCCTTATTTTACCTATGTATCCCGCATGTATCCCGTGCACAACGATATGTATCCCGCTATGTGGAATGTATCAAACCTAATGTATCCCGTGCACAACGCTATGTATCCCGCTATGTGGAATGTATCAAACCTAATGTATCCCGTGCACAACGCTATGTATCCCGCTATGTGGAATGTATCAAACCTAATGTATCCCGTGCACAACGCTATGTATCCCGCTATGTGGAATGTATCAAACCTAATGTATCCCGTGCACAACGCTATGTATCCCGCTATGTGGAATGTATCAAACCTAATGTATCCCGTGCACAACGCTATGTATCCCGCTATGTGGAATGTATCAAACCTAATGTATCCCGTGCACAACGCTATGTATCCCGCTATGTGGAATGTATCAAACCTAATGTATCCCGTGCACAACGCTATGTATCCCGCTATGTGGAATGTATCAAACCTAATGTATCCCGTGCACAACGCTATGTATCCCGCTATGTGGAATGTATCAAACCTAATGTATCCCGTGCACAACGCTATGTATCCCGCTATGTGGAATGTATCAAACCTAATGTATCCCGTGCACAACGCTATGTATCCCGCTATGTGGAATGTATCAAACCTAATGTATCCCGTGCACAACGCTATGTATCCCGCTATGTGGAATGTATCAAACCTAATGTATCCCGTGCACAACGCTATGTATCCCGCTATGTGGAATGTATCAAACCTAATGTATCCCGTGCACAATGCTATGTATCCCGCAAACATCATTTTTAAGGGATTTTTGGTAAATAGAAAACTAGAAGGGATAGGATGTTATTTAGTACTTATAATATGTGGTTCCTATAATTTATACAATTTAATTTCCCGCAATAATAACAAGACAATCTAAATGGGCCGTCCTTATTCTTTCTGTGCCTGGACTAATGAGTGGTATTGGGCTGATATACTGGGCTCCAACTAATTTCACTCTTCTTATACTGACTAAACTAGCAAATGCTATTTTGGTGTAACTTCTACTTATTCTTAGTGCCCGTTTGGCCATGCGATATGGTATCATGATATGGAATCATGAGATGAAATTAAAGTTTTGTTTGGACACCTTCACTAATCTAGCTTAATTAAAACTCCACAGTTTAAACTCCACAATTTAGCTTAATTAAAACTCCACAGTTTAAACTTTTAGTTGACACCTTCACTAATTTAGCTTAATTAAAACACAATATCGTCAACGAATAGCTTCATTCATCATGTTACCTCATCTTGTATCGTGTTAATTAGTTCAGACATAATTAGAATATAAAATAAGAAAACTAGCAACTAGCAACTCTAAATAAGAAATTTCAGAAAGTTCCGTCTCTGCCTAGCTTATATATATTAAGTGATTGAAAAGGTGGTATAATACCAGACGAACTCCTTAAATTTGTCAGCATATTTAATTTTAAAACTCGAATTACATGTTGTTTCAATTGAAAACCTCTACACCTCTACTTTCGGTTAAATTTTTTGAAAAAAATGGAGTGTTGTTATTCGTCTACTAGATAATTAAGTTAACCACATAAAATATATCATTTCCTTTAGTCACACACATTTGCTTCAATAAGCCATAAACTCCAGATATTTTCTTCTTGAGGTTGATACATATAATTAGGAGATGACATATTTATGTGACTAACTTAATTATTAAATAAAAGAATAAAAACACGTGCAAAAGTTTATTGTAAATTTGAAATTGAACGTAACTACTTGGAACACTTTATTAGGAATTTAGGTGTTCAATTGAAACAAGATTTAGTTCAAATATCTAACTAGAATATCGTGACAAATTAAGGGACTTATTATGTATTAAGCCTTCAAAAAGATTAATTCTTTATGAGAAACTTTCACAAATAACCACTTTAATAAACTTAATTATGCTCCATAGCTATAGTTTGCATATTTACGGATTGTAACTACAGTTTAAGCTGTCTCATTTGTATAATTTGCAGATTTGTATAATTCGCGGGTACATTTGTATAATTTAGTTATTTTTGTATAAACTCGAAATAATAAATTTATACAATTAAAAACATCAAAGTGTAAACAGTTATACAAATTATATTATACAAATTTCAAATTATACAAAAGTTAAACAAATTTTATTATACAAATTCCGAATTATACAAACATGCGAATTATACAAAACTAAAAAGCTGAGCCGCATAATTATAGCTAAAAATAGATTACAAATTGTAATTAAAGCAAATTATAGCTATGTTAAGTAATTAACTAGTATATGTTTACTTATACGCTTAATTTTTTCATTCTCATAAGTCATAACCTCACTTCTTTTTCAGCCCAAGTCATAATCTTGTTTTGTTTTCTTCCAATCATGGAGTCTCCTTGTCAATCATTTTGGTATCTCCCCTTCACTATTAATTATCCATTAACGCGAAGAAAGGACATCCATTTTAAGGAGTCCGGAGTTAAAAGGGTAAAAAAAAATTGTCAAAAATTTCAAAAGGGCACATAAATTTTAAAATCGTTCTCTTAAAATCGCTGCCTTAGCAGTGAATTTGTGAAATTTATTTATTTTTTTAAAAAAAATCGCTCACTGGCAGCGATTTTGTCAAATTTCAGCAGCCTTTTTTTAAAAAAAAAATTAATATCGCTGCAATAGCAGCGATTCTCTTTAATTTTTTATTTTTCTTTTTAATTTTTTTCCAAAACTTCTTTTTTTTTAAAAAGTTTAAAGACAAAACGCTTTGGAAAAATAAAAGTTTGGCAGCTATTTCATTTTTTGGGAGCAATATCCTTTGGAGAAAATTAACTCCGTCTACTCCATTACGTTAAAATATAACAAAATCGCTGCCACAACAGCGATTTTGTCAAAAAAAAAACTTTTTTTCATAAAATCGCTGCTACAGCAGCAAACCAATTTTTTTTTTGTTAAAAAAAAGAAATCGCTGCACCGAGAGCGATTTTGTCGATTTTTATTTTAAAAAAAAAGTAAATCGCTGTTCCAGCAGCGTTTTTCCTTTTTTTTTTACATAAAAAAATTAAATTAAAGTCGATGCAATTGCAGCGATTTTCTTTAAATTTTTTTATTTATTTTTAAATAGCTGCTGAGCAGCGTTTTATTCCAAAACTTTTATTTTTCCGAAGCGTTTTGTCTTTAAATTTATTTTTTAAAAGAAGTTTTGGAAAAAAAATAAAAGAGAATCCCTGCTATTGCAGCGATATTAATTTTTTCTTTTTAAAAAAAGGCTGCTGAAGCAGCCATTTAAAAAATAATAATTAAAAATTGACAAAATCGCTGCCGATTTTTTTATAAAAAAAAAACAAATTTGACAAATTCGCTGCTAAGGCAGCGATTTTAATAGAAAAACAATTTAAAAAAACCGGCAGCGATTTTTGTTTATTTTAACGGAGTAGATGGAGTTAATTTTCTCCGAAGATTTTACCCTTTTGGTTAAAAAAAAATGATATGCCCTTTTGAAATTTTTGACAATTCTTTTTACCCTTTTGGCTCCGGACTCCCATTTTAAGTGTTAAGAAAAATAGAAGAGTTTTCCAATTCTTTCTCACCCCGTCCTGCCTAGAAAGTTCTCGGCCGCGCTTCATTGTTATTCCTTCGACAACAAGGGAATATGTAGTTGCAATACTGATCTGTCCCATCGTTCCTACCTACACACAAGTTATTCTTTTTAACTTGTCTTTTGCCTAAGCAAGATACGTCTAGGTCTCCCCTTATTTGCCTATTTCAGTAGGAAATTGGAACAATCTTTGATATGAAAGAAAAAACTGATCGAGGCGAGAGAGGGAGCAGTAATAAGGAATATTCAAATAAGGTCATTTTGGGAAACTCTAATACTAAACCATTAAGCTATAAAACAATACTACACACTTATGATTACCGACATATAATCATCAATTGCACTCAGGCTTTAGCTTCAATAATTTAATTTGGAACTTAATAATTCATATGGTTAATAGCTACAGAGTTGTCCTTGTATTAGTGCACTATCAATTTAATACCTAGGGCCTATAGCTATGATATCAAAAAGCTAGGTGCCCACAATTATTAAGACAAAAGTATATCCACCTCAAGAAGAAGAAAAAAAGGGAAATATGATATAAAACCATTTAACAAAGTCCATATCACAAAAATTAGACGGCAAAATCATACACGACTAGTTCATTGTTTCACTGGACCATGCAATTCTTTACCGTTCATTTTCAATAAATAAAAAATAATACACTATGTTTAGAGTACAAGACTCTCCTTGCTTGAAAAAGACTATCAAATAGGGGTTACTGAAGGCATTTGTCAATTCATTTTGAGTAATGTAACTGTGCAAGATAATGATGTTTTTTTTTCCTTTTTGGTAACTAAGATAATGATGGGTTTAGTAGATGAATTTAGATATCTAGTGATAATGGAGCGCCAGTGGAACAATTGAGCACTCAAGAAGTGCAACAAGCACTCTACTAGGCCGACATTGACAGCTGAGAGACCAACTTGCAGTATCATAATAGTGCAAATTATTGCTTAGTTGGCTCCCTTCAGAATCTACTACATAAAGAACTACCGTAAACTATGTTAGATGGCTATTACGGGTATTAAACTCGAAATTTTCAGAAAAAGAAGTAACTACAACCAATTACAATGCATACCCTTATCGCAAGGGCAACAGAATAAACATGCCACTGTTTGACACCAACTCTTTTGATCCCCTCCAAAGCTAGAGGAAAAGAGTGAGTGAGTTCACCACATACCACTGGCTTTGGTCTACGGTTGACACAACTCCTCGACTAATTGGTCAAAATATCTTGTGACCACCAACTAGCAAGCACCAAATTGGATGTTCTATCAGCTTCTCCACATCCTAAAACAGTGAATACTGAATGCTGAGAGGCTTGCTGACTGCCCAAAAAAAAACCTTGACAAAAAGTTAGTGGGGTAACTAACTAGGAGTAAATTCAATAGTAGACCTTGAAAGAAACTTTGGCAAAGTCATCATAAATGCTCTTCACGTCTCATGTACTATGTTATGGAATGGTCACATTTCTCTTTACATTAAAGCTAGTTCATGTAAAAAAGTTGAGGCCAGTAAGAGTAGTTCAACTTTCAATATAATTCCACCTTCCCCCACCCCCTTGCTGGCCCACTTCTGTACGGAACACCAATCAGAATCTTTAGTTCATCTTAACACCAAAGCATCTCCACTTAGTCACTTACTAGACTTCACATAGGAGGAAAAGTATGGAACTGGTGGTCCTCACACGTACTTGCCTTTCTTTTTTTACCTTGGTTCAAGTTTCATACTCTTTCATCTGGCTTCCTCACTCTATTTTGGCACAACTAGTTTCTCCTCACAGGGATGGAAACTAACAAATGGGAAGGGAAGAGAAGCATTAATGAAGCTGAAGAGGAAGAGGATGAACATGAAAGTGTTGAAGAGGACAGCAAAAGGAAAAGGGTATTGACTCTCTCTGGTAGGAAGCTAGCTGGTGAAGGGTCGGCACATCCTTCTTGCCAGGTCGATCAGTGCACTGCAAATATGGCAGATGCCAAGCCATACCATCGCCGCCACAAGGTGTGTGAGTTCCATTCAAAGTCTCCAATAGTACTTATTAGTGGACTCCAGCAGCGATTCTGTCAGCAATGTAGCAGGTAAGTAACCTCTATTTTCTGATGAACAACTCTAATTTTATCTGTGCCTTCCGAGTTCTATAGTGGCAATATCTTGGAAACCAATTATGTGCACTCAACCAGTTTTTCTTAGATTAAAGTCACGAGGAACATTAATCAAAACATCAATTAGCCAATAAACAAAGAAGAAGGTAATTTAAGCTTCAGTGCTGATTCATTTTATGCAACATATTGGAATCCTAATATCAAGAACCAATACCAATAACATAGGCAAGAACTAACACATGGAGATACGAAAGTACAACAGCAACAATCAATTTCATACAATATCCTATGCATATCATTTATTTAATCATAAACTGTGTGAAAAAGCAAAACTCAGCCTTTTAAATCGTGATATAACAATAAATCCAGGACACTACTGGATCTTCCAAATTAATCCATTGATATTTCTAGACTATAACTTTGAAATGTGGTTATTAAGACCATGGCTACATCCAATTAAAAGATGGTCAATAACCTCTAGGTTTCCTTGTTATGGAACAAAAGCCAAATCAAGCAATGATGATGATTTCTTCTTAGAATTAGGGCCCGTTTGGATTGACTTAAAAAAAGTAGCTTTTAAGTCAAAAATAAAAAGTCAAACTGAAATGACTTTTAAGTCAAAAAATAAAAAGTAGGAGGAGACCTACTTTTGGTTTTTGACTTATTTTAAGTTATTTTTTATATGCCAAACACTTCCATAAGTTAAGTCAAAAACTGACTTAAAAGTAAGTTTGACCAACTTTTAAGTCAATCCAAACACCTTCTTAGTCTTCTTTTGCTAGGTGTCATAATGTGATGATTGTGTCAGCCGTTTGAGGACAAGCATTTTTTTAAGTTGAGGGTGTTGATGTGCCGTAGATTTAAGGCACCTGTAATGCTTAAAACTTAGGATTTTTGTAAGTCTTTTAGAGCGTTTAAGTAGATTTAATGTATTTTGTCATTATTTTGCAGGAAAACATGTTTTTGGTTGCTAAGTGTAGGAAGTCAGGTGTTGTAGTGAAGTTTGGTCATTTACGAGTCATTTTACGAGTCGTGGTCTAAACCACGAGCCGTAGATTTTCTCGTAGATGAAAGATTAAAAAAGGTGAAATGAAGTCTGAGGTGTACGAGTAGCCAGTACGGGCCGTAAAAAGTTTTACGAGTCGTAAACTTACTATGGTTGTAGAAAATTTACTGATAATTTGCAAAACTGGGCTGACAAACTACTAATGAACATTATGGGGCGTAGAAGCACTGTCCCAAGGGTTTCTTCAAGTTGAACAACAAAATGTAAATAAATAATGCTAACATGGAGAATAGTCCCTATGGTCTGTGATAGGGCTTCTTGATCGTCCCTTCTTTAGGTAGTAGAAGGTAAGCTGTACTCCAACTGAAATTGTATACAAAAGATTCTTTTGTTTCCTTTGAAGGGAGAGACAAATACTGGTAAGGGAAACAATTAACTTTTGCACATGGAAACAGAGATTATCCTTCAGACAATTTTTTATTCCAAATTCATCCAACTGACAACGAGTTATTCTAAATAAAATTCTACTTCCTAGGAAAATATGTAGTGTATCTAATCAGCCAAGAAACTCTAGCTGCTGCCACATCCACAGCCATCTCATGTATTTTCTAATCAGCTGCTTTCAGATTCCCAAGTATAGGAGTATATCATTTTCTAATGAGCAGGGGCAACACAGAGCTTTTAATGAGAATTTTCAATTGTTCGCATGATGAGGTGCAGATTTCATCTGTTAGCAGAGTTTGATGGTGCTAAAAGGAGTTGCCGAAGGCGTTTGGCAGGTCACAATGAGCGCCGCCGTAAAATTACATATGACTCTCATGGAGAAAGTTTGGGCTGAAGCAGCATCAGCATCAATGGCAGCGAAATAACCTACTTTCTGAAGCAAATTACATAAACAAGATGTGGTTTAAGCATGCTCTCTATCTTCTGTCAATTCCAGGATTTGTAAGCAAATTGCTATCTGTGAACTTCAAGTATCTAGCTAATAGTACTTTCATTTCCCTTATGTAAAGGGAAGGACAAAAAGAATAAACCGCTGGCACTGTCTGCTAGTATTCAAAAAATGAAATATTTGTAGTATCAATACATATCACATGGTGCTCGAAAGTCTTCCATGTTGACATTCCAACTCACTTTGAGATTTTTGTTTAAATTTTCCTCTTGTTGTTATAATTCCTGCACTTCCATAACTTCTTTTTTTGTTTTGATAACCAAGAAATCCCCAAGTGAAAGTGGCGCACAATCCAAAACTTGGTGAATAATGGGTCCGCCATGTACTTTTCTCCATTTAATTACAGGCTTTTGTCTGCGATAGGGTTCGAACTCGTGACGTGCGCCTACACACATCACAACTTGTGCTCTGACCACTAGACCAAAGCCTTTGGGTCCTGTATTTCCAGAAGTTAGGTTCTATGTTTTGAGATGCTTCTTGCCTTATGGGAACAGAACAACTCTCAATGGGTGTTGTAAACATAAATTCTATGAGATAAATAAGTATACATGCCCTGTTAAATTGAGGCATCTTTCAGTGTTTGACCTATCTCAGGTATGTTTGAGTTGGCAAAAATGTGTTTGATTGAGATCAATGTATGATCCAAGAGGTTATAAGCTAAAAGCGTAAGGGCTCATTTGGTATGAGGGTTGAGGGATAACTAATCTCGGGATTAATTTTAGGATGAGTTTATCCCTCATTCCCATGTTTGGTTGGGATAAAATTGCGGGATAACTTATCCCGTGAATTGTGATTAGTTATCCCGGGATTGTAGTGTTATTTTTATCCCACATTAAAGGTGGGATATAAATCCTAGGATAACTTGTTTCCCAACCAAACAAGCCCTAAAAGTATTATGGTTTACTATTTTATTTAACTACATCATCAAATATAAATGAGACTGCTAACATACCAAACCAAGGTGAGTGGAACTTAAACAATAAGAACAAACGCCAAATGATCACGATTTCTTTTAAAACAGTAACAATCAAACTTCCAATTGGCCATCAATGGAAAAACAGAGAAACTTATAGGACAAGGCATGTACCAGATATCTTCAAAACTATGTTGACATCTTTTGGAGTTCTTCCCCTTATTAATATTTAGTCCCTAAAATGACTTGTGTCAGGCCCAAAAGACAGTGTGTCAAAGTATCACTCCTGCATAGATTTTGTATCACATGCTATACTAACATCTACCGAATGATATACCTGAAGGTGCCAAAAATATGCTGAAAGCTCACAGGGCGCAAGTTCTTCAAGAGCAAAACAAGTTGCCCTACATAAAAGAATTACTGCAGAGTCTTGTAATGTTGGTCTCCACTCAGTGCCTAAATGTTAACTTTATATCTAAGTACAAAATATTTACTTCTCTTTGCTGCTGCTTGCTGGCACAAGATTGTCTAATATTTAAATTTAGGCACATATTAGCTGTATTTTCACATTCACACTGCAAAATCTTGAGGAAAGGAGTTAAATCTTCTAGATTTAAAAGCCTAGAAGATTTAACAGCCCAATCATTTCTTAAGATATTTATGCAGCGGAAGATCATTATTAGAGGAAACATGAACCAAGCTCCAGATATCAGACCTTTCCTTGCAGAAGGAAGGCTGATGATGACCAACAAAGTTGCTAAATGCTAGTTTGAATTACATTTGACAGCCATAGAATATGCATAATACACCAATTCATGAAATGAGAAGGAGAATTACATTTTTTTAGAAATGGCAAATGTAATGAGGGAGAATTTCATTTAGTAATGCCATCTTTCATAACTGAAAATGTTCAAGACATAACTGTTCTTTTTTTTTTCTTTCTTTTTTTATAAGTAAGATATAACTGTTCTAGACAGGTGTCTATCATCAAGTGGTCCCGCTCATGCAAAAGGCTATCAGTTAGTTCCTTCGATATTAATTCTCTAACCATAGGAAACTTCAATAATATCTGGCAGCTAATCATCTGAATGAAATCTTGAATATATCACCAATTTATGTTTGAACAATGATAACCACACAAATCCTAGCTAAGAAACTAATCCTTGAAGAGAGGAACACCACAGACAGAACCATCAATCTCAGAACTGCAGATGATAAATTAATGTCACTAAAAGACTGATAAAATAAATTAATATCACTAAAAGAAATCAGATGACAGACTAGTAGTAGTACAGCAATGTCATGACAAAAAAATCATGTGGTAACCTTGTCAAGAACCACTAAAGCTTTAAACCAGCAGCAAGCAGAAGAAATAAGCAGCATCAAAAAAAAATTATTGGTCACGCCTGATCCCCAACAACTTGGCAGACAGTTCCCATGCGACAATAGCCGCTGCATTAGCAGGAAAAGCTCTTACCAGTGTAGGACCTAATCCTGTATAGCATCCTCTAAGTCCAGATCTCCTGTAAATCTACCAAAATGAATTGAATCATGCACTTTCTAGTTTCTAGTATTTCAAATTTCAAAGTGAGATTATGATAAATACCAAATTTAGAACCGAGAAGGGATTTCTTGAATGGTTTTTCTCAGGGGTAGTTTGAATTATCGTCTTTGCTACATCCAATGGCAGAACAGCAGACCAGAACTGAAGAAAAATCAGAAGAACAAATGTAATTACAAATGTTACTTCCATATTGAAAGTACAAACAGTATCTTAATCAAAGAATAAGTAAGCAGAACCCAAAAGAAATTAACTCCAACCACTAATACTCACTGCTATACCACCAAGACCACCACTCATTAATCCAACTCCAACATCAATCAATTGGGTCGACTCAGATGAAGCACCTTTCAATTGTAGATGCATGAAATATCGTGCATATTCATAGGTACTAAAGAAGACAGCATTGCCCACAGATTCTCTCAGTAAGGTTGCGAGGCCTCCTCGAAACATGCCGGTAAGCTGGAGAGATTCTTTGTCAGTTTTGAAGGCACAGCTGAAGCCTAAATGGAAGCACAGATCAAGAAATTTCTCACCCCTTCTTGTTGAACTGTTTTAAGGGCACACTCACGGGGCCCGCTAAATCTAGTGGACTTCGCTACCATAAAATCAGTGCCCTGAACTTGCATCCTACACTGGAAAACAACATTACAAAGATGGTATTCCAAGTAAAGCAGGAAGTTAGGAACTCTAGCATCACTTACCTTCACCAGTTCTGACGGGCATAGTATGAAGCTGATAATAGCTCCACCAAAGGCTGCTGAAGGAACTATTGCATGAGGCTGGGGCTTACCACCATCTATTTCTCCCTTTAAAAGCAAAAAAGAGATGTTCATGAAATAGTAGTTAGTAGTTACCTGCATCATGTAGTTGCAAAAGCATCTAAACAGCAGATACTAGTTCATTGGTTGCACAAGCTACATATTTTCAACATATTAAAGTGCAATTAATTGAATTTATAAGCAGAATATGTATTAAAAACCTAACAAACCTGAAGAAACCGTTTTGTTTGCGAATAAATGCCAAAAGAAAGTGAGCTTTCAAAGGCCATGCCAATGAAGGAAGATGTAGCGCCTCGATAAAGCCCTTTAACCTGTCAGATCAAACCTAGATCAGCACACCAGGACTCTGGGCGATGCCAACAAACAAGCTGTTTCCTCATATCAGTTTTCTTCATACAAGTTGGTTAACCAGAATTTTGTTGTGCATGCAGACACATGTACACACGTGTCTATGTATGTCTGTAAGTATGTGCGCGCAAACATGCATCTCCCAGGCATTATAAATATATAAAGCAGCATGTTACTTTTGAGAGGAAAAAAGGGATTATCCAACAATGAGTACTGGATTGCAAACAACTGAAAAATTCAACATATAATTTTGAGTGTCATGTTCTACAAGCAAAACATCCAAGTAAAGAGATCCGAACTTCCTAGCTAAACAACATTTGAACAAACAGGATAGATAATGGTAGACAGGGATCAGGAAAAAGTTAAGAGTAATACTCCTTCCGTCTGTAATATCCTAGTAGCACAATGCAAACCATTCTTGTACTTCGCTCCGCCTGCTTCAGTGTTGTACTTCTGAAGCTTCACCTGACAAATACATGCTAAAATATTTCAAAACTCATAGTTATTCAAAGCTGTTAAATTCGCTAAACTTCATCTCAATAGGGGCACACACAGAACTGCAACCACTAACAACTGATCAAGTATAACCTACATGATATCCCACAATCTCAGGTATATCTTTTATATGAGTAAAACAAAATTAGAAGTTTATATGTGCACTATTAGCATATTCAGTATCAAGGATGAACAAATTGATTACAACGAGTGGAAATAAGAATAACGTAATCCACCAATATTGCCTAGCAAAGATGTGAGTATTTTTTTCTCAATTTCCCAAAATTTACAGAGAAATTGGAAAATGGAATAACGAAAACAGATTTCAATAAATAAATTTAAAAAAAAGAAGAGAAACTATATATTCCGTCGAAGTAGCATTGAGAACTGAGAAGTGCCTACTGAAGGATCTTCCTCAATATAGGAAAACATTATCCCAAATGCAATGAACGAGCAATGTTAAAAAGAAGATGGCAAATTGAAAACAGAAATGCACCTTCACAGTATCAAAAGGGTGGCCGGTGATAACAGTGGCAACTCCGGCCACGAGGCCTGCTACATAGTCCTTATAACCGGAACTTGCCTCCATCTCCTATTCTTCTTGCTTGCTCCAACTCAATTGTTAATTCTTTCTCCGAGCAGGCAGCAGCTAACATCGGAGGTATTTATCAGGAGACTGTTTAATACTTTCTGCTGGGGTTTAAGCTCCAATATTTTGTGGGACGAAGAGTTGCATTGATGTAACGCCGGCGCGTGCGTCGCTCAAATCATAAGAATATAACTTGTGTTTTAGGCTGGCACCCCTTTAAAAATAAAATGTAAGTAGTACATTTTTATGTAATAAATATCTCTAAAAATATGTCATTTCTTGGCTATTTAAATAAGGGTAAAATTGGAAGAAAATTATTACTAATGTCTTGTTCATTGTGTGAAATATTACTTATTTTGATGCAAAACGAAAACATAAAATCATCGCATATTTTAAAATGAAGTATTATTCCCTCGAATTTTGCACTACATTTAAGATATATCTCATTCATTACTTATTTGTTTTGAACACGCCTTTAACAATAATGATTATT